ACTAAGCTCTTGGAGTAGCTCATACTCACAAGGATGACTCCAAGGACCAAAAAGAACCCCAAAATACTCCTTAAACTAGATCTAATACCTATAGTCATCAAGATAGAAACTTTATACCTCCAAAATGTAGATCAAGATGCAACAAGCCTGGATCCAAAAGCTAAGCAATCTTACACTTCTCTAAGAAGTTCCTTCTTCTTCTATGAACACCAAAAAGCATGAAATACCACCAAAAGCTCAAAAACCATTCAAATGTGGGCTAGGGTTTCGTTTCTAGGGTTTAGAGGGATGGAGGCAGAAGATAATAGGGTTTGGTAGTGAGATAAGGAGCTTAAATAGGGTCCAAGACCGTAAATTAGGGTTTAGATCTTACTGGAGTACGTCCTGCGTACTTCTGGTACGCCCAACGTTCTCCCTAAAGCACCCACGATCATTTTACTTAGTACGCCCAACGTACGCCAATGTACGCCCCGCGTACTGGCCTTAGCACTAGTACGTCATGCGTATACTTGTGTACGCCCTGCGTACTCAGTTTAACCCTAAAACCACTAAACTTCTGAAGGCCATAACTTTTTCATTATAAGTCCGTTTCCGACGATCCTTATATCCACAAAAAGGTAATGAGAAGCTCTACACTTCTATCAACTCATACTTGCCTTAAAACTTCCCGAACTAAAATCCAATTTCCATAAAAGCCCGAACTGACACTTTACTGATATACCATTGGCTCCAAAATACAAACCGAACTCCCGAATCATCTGAATTACATTACCCACACCCAAATGGCTCTAAATCTCTTTCATCAAAGGCCCTAAGCCTAATGAAACCCGATCTTCAGTCAACCCCGCATTAGGAAACGATTCGAAACAGGGCGTTACATAAATGCTTTTCAAACGGCCTCATAACTATAGAAACTAAAACCTTTTGGTTGTTTATGTTATCTTTGGCTTCGGAAATACACAACATCTAAATTACACCCAAATTCAAAACCGTGCATCTTCCTTGGGTACTCGACATTTCAGTCTACATAAAATGTATAGACTTTACTACCATTTGTCTCCGTTTTTCAAGGTATGTTATGTTTTTTGAGGAAGATTTTCCTCTTCAATTACACCATAAAAATTATGAGTTCATCAACTACATCCGATAACTGAATATCAATGGATCTCCATAAGAAATTGGTAACAATACAACAACTACTAGCCTACCACCTCATCTTCTTCCAAACATAACACCCATCACATCCAACCTTCTTCAAGTGATGGCTTATTAATTGATGCTAGTTCTCTTGTTCAAATACCCTCTTCTATCAACTATGTTTCCCAAAATGTCAATTATGATCATGAAACTATGTAACATCCAGATGTCAAGCCTCCCTCTGTGAGAAACGACCCCAAGCAAACCCTATGTGAAAGAGTGCATTTTGGAGGAGTGTTTAGAAGTGTTCTTAAAGAAGAAGAGAGTGGTGAGAAGAGCTTGGAGTTTGGGAAGCATCTTGGATCTGTGATTTCCTTATTGATAGAAACCTCCAAAAGGTAAAAAGTTCACATTTTGATCACTCCATATTGTAGATCTAGACATTTCTTCCTTTAAGACACTTTTTGTCCCAAAAATGGTGATTCTCGAGCATGACATGTTCTTGGCCAAATAAGTCGTCCTTTCATACCTTATGAGGGGTCTTGAGTCATAAAAATGTAGTCTTGAGGGTTAGTTCCACTCCATGCAAGCTATAAAAGGTATTAATACATTAAGATGTTGAGGGTTTGTGTTTTAAGCACTTAATGGACATACAAATCATAAAGTTGGGAACTTTATGACTCATAATGGTATTTTACCCTTGGATCTGGTTTGGACGTGAAGATTTGGAGTATTGAGCTCTTAATTGAAAAGGGATGAACAAGGCGTGTACGTTGGGCGTACCAAGTGGTACGCTGCACGTACGCGGTCATCGCCCCATAAGTTGGTCAAACATTGAGTACGCTCCGCGTACAGAAGAGTACGCCCAACATACTCGACTGAGTCGACTCAGTTGGCTCGGCTAGGTTGGGTTGACTCGGCGAGGTGTTGACTTTGACTTTGACTTTGACTTTAGCCAAGGTTGACCAAGTTTGACTTGAGGGTATTTTTGGTATTTTGGATTGTGTTTGAGAATTGGTTATTTGGATGGATAAGTGTCGGTTAGAGCTGAGACTCGGAGTCAAAACCTCATCAACTATTGTTCAGATTGAGATGTGAGTCTTCCTCGTTGTACTTGTGGGTCGAAGGCACCAAGGCCGACCCATTGGATTGGATATCTTGTTATTTGATAGTATGTGATTATGTTGTAGAGATCTGTTAAATCAATATCCTGGTATATAGGATGTTAGCATGCGGTAATGATCTGTAGATCTGTCTGTTGTCTGTTGACTGGTTATATGTTTATCTGTTATATATATGTCGACATATTATGGTTGGTTGGGTTGAGGTAGTCCTGCTTTGTGTTGAAGGCCAAGATACCCGGGGCGGTCCAGATAGGTTGTAGGCTTTGCGAGGCGGTCCAGTTAGGCCGAAGGCCCGACGAGCGGTCCGGATAGATTGTCGGCTCTGCGAGGCGGTCCGGTCATGCCGAAGGCTCGGGAGCGGTCCAGATAGGATGTAGGCCCTATGAGGTGAACCAGTCAGGCTGAAGGCTCATTTATGCATGTTGTTGTTTGTTGTGTTTATATGGTAGTACTTTAGGTGAACTCACTAAGGTTTGGCTTACGGTTTTAGTTTGTTGTTTCATGTACTTCTGATGACCGTGGAAAGGCAAAGGCATGACCATACACATCCTCCTGGTTCATGGCCTTATGATCTTGGGATACTCTGATATTGTTAAAAACTTTGGAAACAATTATTTTGTAAACATTTTATGATCATGGGTTGTTTTGAAAAGTTTAAAATTGTTGTGATTTTTGAGATGTTACAAACTAGTTCTCAAAATGAAAACCAAAGTGGATCCTTTGGTTTTTCACTACCTGTTCGAGATGAACCTTCTTCTGAACCTACTTCATAACTACACTCACCTACTTATAATCACCAATCTATTTCTCCTAAGCTTTAAACCCCTCCCCCATTAAACATACACATACACACATCATTCAATTTGACCTCAAAAACCAAATAACGATATTAGAACACAAAATTTATCAACCACGACCAACAACTCTCGAACCTTCAACGGTAACATAAGCTATAAAAGATCCTTATTAGAGAAAACCAACGGATTACGAATCTAATACACTCTTGTAGATTGGTACTTGGGAGTTAATTCCAAAGTTAAACTATGTGTCCTTCAGCTACAAGTGGATTTTTTGCATTACGTGGAAATCTGATGGATCGATAGATAGATATAAGGCACATCTTTTGGAAAGTTGATATTTGCAATAACATGTGATTATTATTACAAAACATTTAGCCCGATGAAAAAAATGACAACCATATGTATTGTCTTATGTATCTTATTATCTTAAAACTGAGTTTACAACAAAGGGGTGTAAACAATATATTTATTTCTGATACATTATATAAAGACGTTTATACGATTCAACCCCAATAATTACCTTCATCAACAACCCTCGATGACCTCCGACAATAATATTAAAATCATATTTTCAAGCTTTGTAAAGGATTATATGGCCTTCAACAAGCTTTGCGTGCTCGGTACAATGAATTAACAAGTTTTTTTCACTGGATTCCAAAAATCACTTGCAAATACTTCCTTATTTATCTATAATCATCAAGGGAAAACAACTTACTTCATGATCTATATGGATAACATAGTTCTCATAGGTAGTTGCATAACATTTATGGATAAGTTTGTCCATCAACTATCAAGTAAATTCTCAGTCAAAGATCTTGGATCATTGCATCATTTTTAGGTGTTGGGGTCACCTCTACTCCACATGGGCTATTATTATCCCAACATTGACACATAGTTGTTGGTTATGATTTGGACCTTTAAATTCCACTATATATATTATCCCTTGTTGATGGATCATCGCTCACTAATGCAACACATTACCATTGACATGTTGGTTTACTTCAATATCTAGCAATCACTCGTCCAGGAAGTCTCTTTTCTTGTCAATTGAATGCCAAGGTATATGCACGCTCCAACACAACTATATTAGTAATCTCTTTGATGAACACTTCGGTACTTAAAAGGTATAATTCATCATGGGATATTTCTAAAACAAGGTACTCTACTCTTTCACCGCATTCTTTTGATTAGGGTAACCATATATGGTGGTCAATCAACAATAACATATGTATTACAACTCAAATTCAACATTATGTTATGTCAAGTTGGTTAGTCTAAAATCCGTTTATCATTTGTCTATAAAGGCAAGATACAAAACCTTGGCAAATGCAACATCGAAAACTCTATGGGTTCATAGTCTATTACTTGAAATTGGTGTCAAGATGACCCAAACTCCTACTACATTTTGTGATAATTACATGGCTACATATCTATGTTCCAATCTCGTCTATTACTCTCATATGAAACATCTAGCACTCATTTTGTTCAAGAAAAAGTTGTAGATGATCCTTGAGTGCATTGCACATAATTAGCTCTATGATCAAATTGTTGATGTTCTTATAACCAAACCATTGGCTCCCAAATACGAATTACAATTCATATTTCTCTTTATCTATAGTATTCCACTATGGTTAAATTAAATTCATTAAATGTCACGATTTCACCTCATTCAACAGTTTCATTATTTTATGCGGTACGTATGCTTTTATTAAACTTGGTTGCATGTGTTGGTTCAATTTTCTCTGCAGAAATCGTTTACATAAAAGTTGAGCTCCAACTTAATTACTTGAGCCATCAAAACATTTTGACTTGGATTGAAAGAAAAGTCTTGATACTTATGTTTATAAGGATATTTTCAAATATGTATCATTTCTTTAGAAAAAATACCCCACATGATACCATAATATTCAACTTAAAAAGTAAGAACAAAGTAGATTAATCAAAAAGGTGAAGGAGCCGGTTCCGAGAGACTCATCTGAGAACCACTGAAATGAGGCAACCAACAAGGAAGGTAATGGTATGTCTGCATGTAAGAACAATACCTCGGCTTTGCAAAGAATGCCGCACACTGCCATACCGGCCTCTGAGATGGGAGCCCAGGGATGCAGTTCTTCCTCACGTCAAGCACCCCTTTCTTCATCAACCCTCTGCAAATCGGACCTACTTGAATGAAATAGTTATCAGACAACGACAGGTTAGCCAGACTACTCATGGCACAAACCACTTCCGGCACCATCCCATACAACAAGTTCCCAGCGAAGTTAAGCACTTCTGCTTTCTTCAAACACCCTAATGAAAATGGTAATGGACCTGTTAAAAGGTTGTTCCCAGCGTCAAAAACCACGGTTTCTTTCAATAAACCGAGCTCATAAGGGAGGCATCCACTCAGCATGTTATTTAATAGCAAAACCTCTGATAAACCCGACAAGTATCTGGCGATGGTACGAGGAATTGGTCCATAGAATTTGTTGTTGGCTAAGGTGAGGTATAGAATATGTGAGTTTCCGAGAACTTCAGCCAGTTTCTGAATGAAATTATTGTTGTTCACAAACAAGATGTCCAAGTCTTTTGTGAAGAGTTGAGGTGGGATCGAACCTGTAAAGAGATTAAATCGGATATCAAGAAACGATAAGCTGTTCATACCTAGTATCGAGTTTGGAAAAGATCCAGAAAATAAGTTGTTGCTGATGTCGAGTTCGTACAGGTAAGGAAGCTTAGCTATGTTTGGAGAGATGGAGCCTGAAAAGAAGTTAGAGTTAGCATGAAAGAGCGCAAGGTCGGGTAGTTGGTCAAGGAAACCATCAAGACTTGGGGCTGTGAGTTGGAATCCATTGAAGTCGATGGATGCAAGAGTGATGGCAGTTTTGTTGTCTGGTGGGTTGTCACAGTAAAACCCTCTGTAACTACATATATCTGACCCCACCCAAGATCCAGTGATGTTAAGGGGGTCGGAGGAGATGGTGTTCTTGAAGCTTTGTATCAACGGGTAGACAACAGAGAGTCTTTGATCAATGAACGTTAGTCCATCGAGTTCATCTTTGATTACTTTGACAGGGTTTCCAATGATAGAAGTTATTCCTCCATGAACTATATCGACTCCAAAAGCCACGACAACAACGATCTTGAAAATGAAAACAATCATCGGCATTTTATTGGTGAGTTTTCTTCGAGCTCAAATGTAAGAACCAGAGAAATGTTAATGGATTTGATCAAAGTAGCCATTAAATATTACTCATTCTCAAGGGACCACTAATCTTTCTTTAAGGTTCGCGCGCAGTCGTCTGGATTATGGAATGGAATTATGTTTTACATTAGTCAATGAAAAGACCCATGTTTATGGCCATGTAGGATACCCAAACTTGAATGAGAAAGGATGAACAACATGGTAGGTCAGGTCCCACAAATTAACCTTTTGACACGTTTTTTTTTAATCTTACACTGTTTTTCATACCGATAATTCAACTAAAAACAAACAAACGAACAAAAAGTAGCATAAAAGGTTCTCAATTAGTCAATTTATTGCTATGTACAGTATAATACTAGTTAGAATATTAAAGATGAATGAAAGATTTATTGGTTGGTGTTGTTGGTCTTCCACTTAGAAAAGGAAAGATGAAGAAGGCAGTGGAATGCTTTTGATTCAAAGGTGCTGATGATTGGTTAATACTTTTATTTGTTAATGTACTCCACCAATGACATGACATGGCAATTGGTGCATTCACATGACGCCCACTTCATGTCATGCCTCACTTGACAATCTTTTAAAAGTCTAAACCAAAGTATTATAAATTATTAACAATGATTAATATAAAGGCTATTCGTTAAAAGAAAAAAAATAGGAGTCATTTTTATAATTATCCAGAAATAACTACGCATTTCATTAAAAAATCGTCGAAATGCCTTTAAATTTGCACGAACATTTCATTTGCCATTTACGCTCCGATTCAAGACCTTATCTGGTTATCTCTACCGGAATACAACGACGAATCTAGTATTTAAATTCACAAATATCCAGTTTAAATGAGGTAAAAATAATAAATAGATCAAATTTTTTTATCGGATTGGTATGTGAGTGACACTATCTAAGCCAAGTATTTCAATAACTATAGATCAGTTCTTATATACTTTGAGAAAGGAATTTATTGTTCATTATTTCCATTTGATTTTTTATAATTATGCAATTAATAACTTGTGTCATTTTTTTTTCTAATAAAAGTATTAAAATTATATCATAAATTTTCACAAACTCATAATCATTAATAATTGTCAATATTGCATATTAACCACAATTGTGGTTGATATTGTCAAAGCAACTACTTTTCTTTGGTTCAAACACATGAACAGCCATGGAGGTCTAAATTGGACTGATTCGAGCATTTACCCTTTTAACTAGCATGTATTTTTGAATTTTGTTGTTTCCTCTTTGTTGTTTGTAACTCTTTACTCTCATGAGATATATCATTCGCTGGTTTCTCAAAAAAAAAAAAAAAAAAAAAAAAAAAAAAAAAAAAAAAAAAGAAGAAAAAGAAAAAAAAACAATATACAAACATTAAGAAAGTATACTATATTAATAACTAAACAAATAATATATTATATTAATAAATAAACAAATAATTAACACTATTTTTATTTTTTTTAATTAAAGTTATAAATATGACTATAATTTAAATAAATCAGAAAATTAAATCAGATTATATTAAAAAAAAAAAGATGGAAACCTGAAATATGAGAAAATATAATTTGACAGTTATTTCCATACACAGTACAACATACTAAATATCAATGTGTATTTTGTTAGATATGTAGAAAGAGAGACCTCAAAAAAGAACACAGGGTGCAGTGGAGAAGTAAGCATGATCCACGAAAAGGGACAAAAGATGGCGGAGATGGGTTGTTAACGACGGTCTGACAAGTTGGAAAGAACCGGTATAAAATTATTATTGAAGACAAATTGCAAGCAGTAGAGATGGAGATGAGCATAAGATTAACGACATTGTCAACACCAAAGGAACCGACAACACAATGATAGAAAAAGATGAAGACAATGGCATCCCCCAACGATTTTGTATTTTCAAGGGTTTTGCCCTTTTTCCCACTCTTCTCTTATTTCTTTTCCTACCTTATAAAACCTTCTTTTCTTATTGTTTTACAAGCTTGAAAGTTAATCCTACTAAAAATATGTAGAGAATATACTTTGTTTTGTTAACTATCTCCTAACTTCATAATATAACTATAATAATACATTTTACTAGTTTTAAGATTAAAATTAGATTAAAATTTGATCTTATATTTGACAAGTTTGAAAAAATAAAATCGTTGTATTATTTTCTGTAAGGTTTATGTTGCTTTACTTGTCGAATTTGACTTCCCCACAGGTGTCCATATAAAATTTATCCTATAATCTACAAAAACAAAAGAAAAAAAACTCAAAATCAGGGGTGTTGTACATGGCATAGGCGGAGGCACATTGGATCCCGGGGTATCCCGGGATGCCCCTCAAAAAAATATTAGTGTAAATATTTTTGGAGATCTCGAAACGCAGATTCATTCTACCCACATACCACCTCACTCGATTGAGATCTCGAAAACGGAATGGAGCTCATCCACTGGTTTACTCTATTCATCTCAATCGTCTTCTTCATGTCATCTTCTGAATCATTCTATCTCCCTGACATTGCGCCCCGTGATTTTCAAAGGGTACGTACTCCGGAAGCCCTCAATATTCTTTGGATCTAACAATAGCATTTTCTTTTGATTTAATTTAGTTAATGTAACTCAAATCGGCATCTGTATTCTGTCAATATGTTTAACGCGAATGATTTGTCTTTGTTGCTCTGATTTCACTTCAAAATCTCAGTCTATAGCATGTAGTTATTGATCCAATTTATCATGTAGTTGCATTGGGGAAAGCCGAGCATGAAGCTGGGGAGAAAGAGACTTTCTCTTTGTATGATTCCGAACTCTAAACTTAATTTTTCTTCTTCTTTATGAACACTGATTCGATATATTGATTTTAGCACAGTCCATTGACGAATCTGCGTGACAATTTGATCATCTCAATTCAGGATTCCGAGGGAAATCAAATATCACATTCAGGTTTATAATAAAACTCTCGAATTCATCTCACATTGTGTAGAATCAGGTTAATTTGGTTCTAATCAAGGATCAATTTGATATTGGGCTTAGGTATTCGAACCATGTCTATAATTGAAAAGGGTATTTGGGATGACTTGTTTCCTATTGAAGGAGGTGGACTTATACATATGAAGTTGCAATTCATTCTTTATTTTTTTCACCATTATTTCATTCCATGATGTATATAGCCATATAAGAGTGTTTGGATGTGTTGTTTAAGTTAATCAATTTCAAGTGTTTGGAAGTTATGTTTATCCTGTTACTTGTAGAGAGAAGCTGCAATGAAGAAAACGCAACCTGAGATTCTTAATAGCAGGCTAAGAAAGAAAGAAAGTGCCAAATCTCTCACATCATTGCTGCAAAACAAGAGGTCTCAGGTTTGATCTTGCACTATCTAAAGAAACATTTAGGACTTCTTTCTTTTTCTTCTTTCTCATTAAGTAAAAGATAGAATGAATGAGGACAAATTTATAAAAAGTCATTAAGTAACAAAGTACAAATCACTGTAATTGGTGAGTGCTGGTATAGTCAACACAAAGTTTTTATTGACCATCTCATTTCCAGATCTTACTGTATGTTACGTGATTTTTTTTCGGGATACCCCTTTAGTTTGACCCTGGCTCCGCCACTGGTACATGGGAACTCATGAGATATATGCAGGTGTTGGAATAACATATAAACATGCAAAAAAAAGTCCATAATTACTGAGATAGCCCTTCTACCGAGGTACATATCCTCCATGATGACAAGTCAGTTGCAAGTCCAAGCCAAGACCACATCATAGCCAACCCACATACCCTATCGACTAGTTTTGAGTTAGAAATATGGGCTGAATGAAAACATGGCATATGTCGATCTTCAAGCTTAGAAATGGTTAGGGATTATACCTCAATTTCTTCTAAGTGATGATCCAATCTCTCTTCTCCAATATAGTATCATTCGATTCTCACTTCAAAGGAACCTTCTAAGCTTTAAATCTTTATCAGATCATCACAAGCTCTTCTTAAACCTGTTTCTCTCCAAATGGAGAGAGAATAAAGGCATTTGATGTGTTTATTTACTACTAATACTTTTAAATTTATAAAAACCTATCAGAAGACAACTAGTTAAAAACACAAATAAACAATGTATCTAGTTGTGAAATAATATAGTTAAGGTAAGAAAGGGTGTCGAACACTAGAAGAACGAGTATGATTCTAATTAAAACTACTGCTGCTAATTAAACTAATAAAATACGGTAAATGGGGTTTTTTTTATCTGTTTTTACAAGTTCAAAAACTTAAATCATCAACTAAAAAAAGTTGAATTAACTACGATTACTTTAACTAAATCAAGCAAACAGAAAACGATTTCAATTAAGATCAAAGAGCACTTTCGTTTAGCTTTGAATCACCTCCTCCATATGGTTGATTTCTTCAATAGAATGAAATATTTAGTTAGTTACCGATTTCTAATGTTACTAGTTATCTTGTTCTGATTCCCTAGCGTTTAACCAATTTATGAACGACTATTACAATGATCATGTAACAAGTGAACACCTAATTGATTTAATATTTTGAACTATGAATGATAATATCTAATGGTTATTTATCTATGATCAAGATAATTAATCAAGCACATAGAATGGCTATCTAATGCTCTCTAACATAATCAAAGTTACTAATTAATATAACCTAAACCTAGAATTTGTTCAACCTCTAGGTCGAACCATTTAATGATCATAAAAAGTTAAATAATAATTTAATGCAATTGGAATGATCATCTAACTACACATAACTTGAAGATAAGCAATAAAAATCAGAACTTTAATATGCTAAGTAGTTGATATATCAAACACAAGTACATACCAACTAAATAATCCAAATTAAAATTGAAAGCAACACATAGTATCAAGGATCATCTATATTAAACGAAAGTCTAGGGTCTTTATGTAACAAATCGTTATTCCAAACCTATGTAGTAATGTAGGTCAATTTGTAGTTCTTTTTAAAACAATAAAGAGAAATTTTAGCA